CAGAAACAAGTCATTTAATTAGTGCTGGAACCCCCGTCTCTGACTCCGGCAGCCAATTACACATTCCAACGGCATCTGCAGGTCCTATTTCACTGGAGGAAAGCAAATCTTCCCTGGCTCGGCTTCATACAGTACATCTTTCCTCTTCCATTTAAGAGAAGGTAAATAGCAGAGATGGACAGCTTCATTAGACAGCATCTGAGGAGCAGGCAGGGCGGATTGTCGCTTAAATAGTGGGCTTTTACTGGAGGGCTAACCGGCGACCTCAGATCAATTACAGCTGACATTATTGTTTGTCGTGAGCTCTTCCAGGACAGAGGAGTAGAGGCAGAATGGGTCCAGGCTCTGCTGAAAATGTAATTTTCCTCCTCTTTTGCTTTCATTCCACAAACAATATATCACTCAGTTGAAGAGATAATAAAGTGCCAAGTAGGAGCTGTTTTAATTTTTGTCAAGGGAAAGCTTCCTCCCTCACAGGATAATGCAGGCTGCTAGTGCTCAGAAAGCCAGCTTTCACCAGACAATGGCTGCTTCAGTCTGTCTCTTTTTAAGGATCACTGGAATCAAAGTTCATCTGTTTGACAATAATATCTCAGTTCTTAATTCATGCAAATTACAGCAGTTTATCCCTCTTGTAGGCTAAATAAGTTCAAAAAGAGTAGGCAATGACATGACGCTCTTAAAAAAAATACTTTTTTGTCCGGATCTTACTTAAAAATTACAGTATTAAAAATTAAATTCATTCAGACAATGACCTGAACACCACATCCTCTATGATGAACACGTTTTTACTTCCTGAGTTAAATTAAATTTTATATTTTTAGTGTAGTTTAAAATAAGATATATTATGTGGTTTAACTGCCCACATGAAAGATATATTATGTGGTTATAATAATAATAATAATAATAATAATAATAATAATAATATGTATTATTAAGAAGCCAGCAAGGTTTTATCCTTGGTTCAGGTCAAATCCCAAGAAAATGATAACATATACAGTGCTGCTTAAAAGTTTGTGAACCCTTTAGAATTTTCTGTATAAATATAACTCAAAAGATCATCAGATTTTCATGCAAGTCCTGAAAGTTGACAGAGAACCCAATTAAACAATTGAGATGAAAAGATACTTTGTCATTTATTTATTCAGGAAAATTATCTAATATTACATATCTGTGAGTGGCAAAAGTATGTGTATCTCTAGGATTAACAGTTAATTTGAAGGTGAAATTAGAGTCCATCTGTTCAGAGGTGTTTTCAATCACTGGGATGACTATCAGGTGTCAGTGTGTGCCCTATTTTATTTAAAGAACAGGGATCTATCAGTCTGATGTTTGTAGAAGTGAATCATGGTACAAACAAAGGAGATCTCTGAGGACCTTGGAAAAAGTGTTGCTGTTGCTCATCAGGCTGGAAAAGTTTACAAAACCATCTCTCAAGAGTTTGGACTTCCCAAATCCACAGTCAGACAGACTGTGTACAAAGGAGCGGTCCACCAACAATGGTCACTCCAAAAACAAGATGTGTGATAGTCTGTGAGGTTGCAAAGGACCCTAGGGTAACTTCTAAGCAACTAAAGGCCTTTCTCACATTGGCTAATGTTAAAGTTCATGAGTCCACCATTAGAAGAACACTGAACAACCATGATGTGCATTGCAGAGTTGCAAGGAGAAAGCCACACCTCTCCAAAAACAAAAAAACAAAAACAAAAAAACACTGCTGCCCATCTGCAGTTTGATAAGGATCATGTGGACAAACCAGAGGGCTATTGGAGAAATGTTTAATGGATGGATGAGACCAAAATATAACTTTTTGGTTTAAATGAGAAGCATTATGTTTAGAGAAAGAAAAACACTGCATTCCCTTATCCCATCTGTGAAACATGGTAGTGGTAGTATCATGGTTTGGGCCTGTTTTGCTGCATCTGGTCCAGGACGGCTTGCCATCGTTGATGGAACAATGAATTCCGAATTATATCAGCAAATTCTAAAGGAAAATGTCAGGACATCAGTCTGAGAACTGAATCTCAAGAGAAAGTGGGTCATGGAGCAAGACAACAACCCCAGGCACACAAGTCATTTTACTAAAGAATGGTTAAAGAAGAACAAAGTTAATGTTTTGGAGTGGCCAAGTCAAAGTCCGGACCTTAATCCAATTGAAATGTTGTGGAAGGACCTGAAGCAAGCAGTTCATAGGAGGAAACCCACCAACATCACAGAGTTGAAGTGGTTCTGTACTGAGGAATGGGCAAAAATTCCAACAAGCCGTTGTGCAGGACTGATCAGCAGTTACAAAAAACGTTTAGCTGCCGTTATTGCTGCAAAAAGGGGGTCACACCAGATACTGAAAGTGAAGGTTCAAATACTTTTGCCACTCACAGATATTTAACACTGGATAATTTCTCTCAATAAATAAATGACAAAGTATATATTTTTGTCTCTGTTTGATTGTATTCTCTTTGTCTGCATCTATCTATCTATCTATCTATCTATCTATCTGTCTGTCTGTCTGCCTGTCTGTCTATCTGGTATTCATAGTAACAGTCATTTTTGGTTGATGGTTAAACCTCTATTAAAATAATTATTTGCCTTCACCCTTCAGAGAGTATGATATTTATATTTCTCTAATTTCTAATGTATTCTCAGGACTCTACTGTAAGTTTGAATTGACACAAATCGTCCAAATCTTTACATCTTGAAATAAGTATAAATTAGTTGCTCAGGTGTCTTATATTTTCATTGATTTTGTTCTTTTGTAATTAAAGCAATAATCTGTAACACAACAGAAAAAGGTGTCTTTATAAAATAAAAATCTTTATTAACAAGGTACGTTCATTAATATAGTAAAATGGCCTTGACAGTGTCTGAAGGTTTTTTTTTTTTGAGACAAATCTGTTGAAAACTACAAAAGAAGGAGAAAAACAGTTGATGAACAATGCGACTGTTTCATCAGACATCTGGATTCTAGACATCCACAGTTCATTGCCTTTCAGTCTGTCTGAAAAGCCTTGGTGGACCTCTTTTAGCTTGTATCATGTTTTCTTATGCTTTTCAATAGGCCATTATGGCTGAAACATCACTTAAGGATGGCGGAACATGAAAGGAGGTGGGACGGGGAGAGAGAGGGAGAGAGATTAGGCCCCTGAGAGCAGTCTGCTACTGTAAGCCCGCAGTCGTTCACACATGCAGAGTTCTGCTTTGTGGAAGTCGGTCAACACAACAGACATCATTCACAGCCAGGCTGATAAAGGACGCCCATTTAAATGACAAAAGCAAAGTCATATCAGACTTTAATACGTTTCTCCTCTCTCTTGTAAATGTTGATTTCCTGAAATCCAGTCAGATCTTCTTGAGCGAATCACAAAGGCATGCCGGCACTCAATCCGGCTTTCGAAAGCTCTGAAAGGTAGATACGTGCATGAATGCCTCTCTCAATTTGTGTCGACGTGGGGCTGTAAGTATCCTGCAATCACACGCTGGCGCCGTGGCAGGTTTTAATTGAGTCCGGTCCTGCGAGCGGTAATTGATTCAGACTTGGCACTCGAGGAGAGACGCCTTTACAAGGTGCTGCTTGGCCTCTCGTTCTTTTAATCTCCGCCTCCTTTTTAATGTCGGGGAATGTGTTTTCCCTGTGCATCTGCTGGTCATCTTTCTTAATGAAATGTACAATGCTTCTCCGAGGAGCGGTGACACTGAAGCCCCCCCTCCCCCCCATCATCCTCCTTTCGTTTTCTTTTTTTGAAGTAGACTGTCTCATAGCCCTTGGCCACTGATATTTTGCACAAAAACAGCTCGCTGGATTATCCCTCTGTGTCTCCCGTTACCTTGAGCCAGGCAATAAAGGGGAAGTGTGGGAAAGAGCAGGGGCCGCCAGCTCGCTCAATCGGATCCACTGCAAACACTCAAGTTGTCTTTCAAGCACTCGAGTGGTGCCTTTGACCGCCCGAGACCAAAATTTCTCTCGGTTACTTTTGATCCTTCAGTTCAAAGTCAGTAGTGGGAGTGAGTGGGTCTTTAGTTCAGGGACACACACCAGGCTGTGACCTTATTTGTGTGCATATGTCCTTTGAAAAAGCAGGACAGCTTCCTTTCTACCCATTTAATCACTGTCTAAGAATGTAGCACAGTTCACCTTAGTTTATATGTATGAGTTTAGCAGTTTGCATGCAGGATCTAGGTTTTCTCGTCAAAATAACAAGAGTGAAAAATTTAAGGGGGTCTGAATACTTTCCGTACCCACTGTATATATATATATATATATATGAGTTTAGCAGTATGTTCACATGTTCTCCTGCAGGATCTGGGTTTTCTCATCAAAATACTTTATATGTCTTAATTATTTCAATTCCATGTAGCTATCAAGGACTTGAAAATAAATGACGCTTTAAATGCACTCTGTTATACAAGTAATGACGTTTCTGGCACAAATACTCATAATTACCTTGTAGGCATCTCATGATACACACTTAGTTTTAATTGGCTCGTTTTTGCTCATTTTAACTAATGCCTTTCATGTTTGCCCTATTTTTTCCGCAGATATTTTGAATGCATTTACTATTAATGGTGAAATATTTCCATAATTTTTCCCTTTCCCAACATAATAAAGATTAGTTTAAATTTCACAATTATTAGGTTATTATGACTGTAATGTTATATATTTTTAACAGCGATATGTATTATTAACAACGAAAGTGAATATTTATGTTTCTAATGACCATAATGGCTTGAAAATGCTGCAATTATTTATTTTTTATAGTCATCAGATAGCTTTAATATAATACAGTATCTAATATGACGATTATTATTTAATGAATATTTACTCTGTAAGCCACAGCGCTTGCACAATAGGTCACATGTGAATAATTCATAGCGTTTCTCCTTTAAATCTTCCTCCTTTCTTCAGCAGTATGCTTTATTTTCTGTCGCACACGCGTCTTCCATTTGCACGCAACTTAATGCCAGAAATGATTAATTAATCAGCTACTCTCTTCTCTCATCTTCAGGCTTGGAACTGCCGTTTATGATGATGCCCCACCCCCTGATCCCTGTCAGCCTGCCTCCCGCATCCGTCACCATGGCGATGAGTCAGATGAACCACCTCAGCACCATCGCCAATATGGCCGCCGCAGCACAGGGACAGAGTGCCCCATCCCGAATGGTGACATCAGTGATTAAGGTAACCCACGGCGCCGTTCTCTCATTGTGTCGTGCACATCTCTCATCAGCCATTGAGGGAAGGTGGAGGGGGCTGGGTGGTGCGTGATCTGTGCTTTCATACGGCTTTGCAGGGAGCAGTCAGTCAGACAATAGCCTGGGAAAGAAAGCAGGGAAAGGATGCAGAAGGGGTGGGGGGCGGGACAGTGTCTCAAAAACAACAACAAAAAAGCATGGACGCTTGTGTGTACATGGAAGTGTGTTGCTGAAAAGAGTGTGTCATGTAATGGCCGCCCTAGCTGTGTTTGTTTTTCCTGTTGGCTGTGCAGGAACGGGTCCCCGACAGTCCCTCCCCTGCCCCCTCTCTGGAAGACGGCAGGAGGCCGGGGAGCCGTCCCTCATCCCAGCGCAGCAGCAGCGTCTCCAGCTCTCCCGCGCACACGGAGAGCTCCTCCGACAGAATGCGTATGTTCACCTCATAAATCTCTCTCCCACTCTCTTTGTCTCTCAATTTCTCTCCCCCATCTCTTCCAGCATCTCTGCACACCGGCACACACGCATTCAAGAGCTACTAAATACCGCAATAAAAATGCCTCTTGTTAAGAGCGTAGCACATGTGCGTCCCTTCCCCGCTTTCTGTTGTTTTCAACCGATGGCACAGAGATATATTAGTTGTTTTTTAATCTTAAAGTTTCGATCTGGCTCATGTTGTGCAAAGACAGACCTCAAATGTTTTCATCATTAGCTGTGTCATGAAATAAAACAATGTATTTAATCACTTGAGAGAGCCTGTATGTATGTTTCTCGTCATCTCTGAAATATGCTACCATGTTTTATGGTGCTATTCTGGGAGCAGTGTCTTAACGAGTAACTGTTTGTTTTAATTCAAAACTTATTTGAGGTCCAAAAGTTGCATTGAAAATATGGGGTTTGTATATAAAAATATATTTTTAAAAGAATTAAAGAATTTTAAATAAAGAAAATGTATGATGTAAAATAAATAAGACATTTAGGCATATTAATAAGACTATGCTCAATTTCTAAGCCACAAGTCAAATTAAATTTTTGTCAGTTTACACAAACTTGTGGAGTTCATGCAGCTCCAGTACTGTTTTTGTTGAAGCAAACCCCATTGTTTAATTAGTACGAGAACTGTTAAATGTTTTTGCCTTTTTTATTTGTAATTAAATTTTTGCTAAAATTATTGTGCTAGTAATATCATTTGTAGTGAAGAAATTTTATTAAAAATACTTTTACTAGTGGTCTCAGACTTTCACATGTTTTTGTAAAGAGGCATTTATTTATAAACAGACAGTTGTATATACAGTTGTATAAGTTCTCTTGTCTCATCTTAGATGTTATAGAGAATTGCACTGAGAAATGCACGCACCAGGCAGAGTGGCAAATGTGATTTTGATTGACTGGCGCATTGATTTGGAGATGAGGTATACCACAAGTCACAAACAGTTGAAAGCCAAGGACGTATTCACCTTCTCTAGCCACTGGACGATGAGGGCTCTTTACAACTCTAATCATTATTTATCACTCGAGGTGTTTTGCGTTGTCGATTGAGAGCGTGTGGAGATGGGAATAATGTGTCTCTGTGTTCTCTCAAAGCTGTGCATCAGAACGGACTGTCAATGAACCAGGCTTTACTGGGCCTGTCTCCCAGCATCTTACCTGGGCCTAAAGAGGGCGATCTGGCAACTCATGACATCAGCCACGAGGCCAAGAGAATGCACCTGGAGAAAGGTCAGCGTTCAGTACATTAAACAACACATAACACTATTGTTCCCTTTCAGTCGGTCACTACGAGTTACGTCGTGACCGACGAATTGGGATCTCGCTTAGAGAGACCAATCCACTTCGAGTGTAAACTAAACGAGCCAATGTACATTGGCATGCGATGTTTGCATCCAGCTGCCGCTGATCACAGCGTGAACATAAAAAGGCAGCCGGTGCAACGCATACCAGCTTTTCGCTTCGGAGCTGAGCGACAACATTGTTCTGCTCCTACCAAACTGCTTCGTGTGTGACGAGTCTAGCGCGCTCTCGGGAGCTTTTTGTGTTGGCGGATGGAGCTTTAGCGGTGGTCGTTCCTGTGTCGAGTGGGTTGCACACTTCAGGCTGCATTACCCCCTGTCGTGCTGCAAACGGCCGTTTCCTCTGTGCATCTCAGCACGTAAAAGAGCATTTCCCTAAAAGAGCCAATTTCTCTAAAAGA